CGCCAGATCTGAGTCCTTCGACTTCTCCACTCAGTGGAGCTCGCCTGAAGCTCCGGCTCGCTCGCCTGCGCTTTGAGGCTGATGAACGTGCTCTCGAACGGCGGTGACGCCACGAACTGGATTTAAAAAGACTGGACGCTGAAACTCAGCTTAAGATGCTCGAGATCGAGCTATGCAACAAAAAGCCCGTTCCTGACGCGGCTTCGACTTCATCCCAGGAACCTGATGACTCGTCTGCCTCCCATGCGGGGTTTCGCCCAGATCCAGTGACACCCGCCAGTTCGCCGTTTCGAACGACACCGTTTGATGTCAGTAAATGCATCACGCTGCTGCCCCAGTTCCGGGAGACAGAAGTGGACGGCTACTTCCTTGCCTTTGAGCGGATCGCTGCGACGCTGCAGTGGCCTCGCGAGGTCTGGCCTCTCCTCTTGACTTGCAGGTTAACAGGTAAGGCCCTTCAGGTGGTGTCAGCTCTGTCTCCAACAGACGGAGCAGATTACGACAAGGTGAAGTCAACAGTGCTCACGGCTTATGAACTAGTTCCTGAAGCCTACAGACAACGCTTCAGATTCGAAAAACCACAGGTAAATTAGTCGTATGTTGAGTATGCCCATTTAAAGTCTGTGTTGTTTGAGAAATGGTGTTCTGCTTCGCATATTTCCTCATTGTCTGATCTAAAGGAGCTCATTTTAATAGAAGAGTTCAAACGACATCTGCCTGAAAAACTGGTTCTTTATTTGAACGAACAGAAAGTGAATTCTTTCTCTGACGCTGCTCTCCTCGCCGATGAGTTCTCCCTCACTCACCGGGTCAGAGAGATTCGTACTGACGCGAACCGTGCATTCAGACCTAATGTACGAGTAACTCCGCCCTCAAATTCTGAAAAACCAGAGTGTTTTTACTGCCATAAACGTGGCCACGTCATCCGTGATTGTTTTTCCTTGAAACTGAAGAACCGTAGAACCGGAAGTTCCCCAAATAAGGACCGAACTGAAATAGCTTGCTGTGACAAAACTAACGCTGAAAAGCCCAGTCCCTGTTTTAAGCCATTCCTTTCCGAGGGTTTTGTCTCTCTTCCGGGTTCTGAATCCGACTCAGAAGTTGTTATTTTGAGAGATACAGGAGCTTCCCTGACTTTAATAAAAAGAAGCTTGCTGCCGTTTTCTGAAAATAGCCAAGCCGGCTACTCGGTGATGCTACAAGGTATCGAGATGGGAGCTGTCTCGGCCGAAATGCACCACATTAAACTGACCTGTCCCTTATTCTCGGGTGATTTTCTGGTTGGGGTGTTGGACGAACTCCCTACAAAGGGAGTTGATTTGATTTTAGGAAATGATGCTGCTGGAGGTTTGGTCGTACCTCTGCCTGAACTCATTTTAGAACCCGAAGTTCATGATAGTGCAGGCCCTCTGCCTGCTTGTGTGCTGACTAGAGCGCAAACTAAAAAGGATCCGGACATAACCCTCCGTGGTTCTGTGTTGCATCCTTTTCTGTCAGACGACACCTCAGTTGCAGATACTACTGCTGTTATAAAGCCCCAGGTTGCTGTGAACTTCCCTATAAGTCATGATGTTTTAGTAACAGCTCAGAGAATGGACAAACTCCTTGTTTTGCACTCGCTGCTGATAACTCTACTCCTGTCACTGACATTCCTTTTTCTTGAACCCCAGTCTGTCCCCAGGTTTTACTTTTTCTTAGGAATCTTGTGCTGTGCACCGATCCTGGCTGTTCCTGATCTGTCCCGGCCATTTAAAATCAAGGTTGACACGTCTGACGCCAGACCAGGAGCTGTTTTTCCACAAGAGGATGCTAACGGACTTGATCACCCCGTCGGCTGTTTCTCCAGGAAATTCAGCCCCAACGCAACGCAAAAGGAAACCCTGGTTTTAAATTGGTCCCTAAAACATTTTCATGTGTATGTCTGCAGCCAATTCACCACTGTTGTTTTCTCAGATCACAACCCGCTGACCTTCCTCCACCGCATGTTCAACACAAATCAACGCCTAATGAGATGGGCTCTCCTCCTCCAGGAGTTCAACATTGAAGTCCGCCACAAGAAAGGAACAGACAACATGATGGCTGACGCGCTATCCCGATGCCACACAGATTGAGGCTCCCTATTAGTGATTTTGATTTTGTTTTTGGTTTAGCTGTAAGGATCTCCCTTTAAGGCTAGTGTTGGTAGCGAAAGCTACCATCTCGGGAACACTCCGCAGCGCTGAGGATCAGCGCAGCGCGATTTTATGTGTTTAATCAGCCCGCCTTCCGAGATCCAGGGATTTTAGTTAGTTAGTTAGCTGTTTTGTCTAGTTAGTTAGTGGGAGCGCTCTTGTTTCAGTGGCAACAACAAAAAAAAAAGATTTTAGTTGTTGTTTTGAGGGGGAGGGTGTTACAGACGCTGTCTGTTTTGTGGCCACAAGATGGCCTCGGTGCTCCTCCTGTTCTCCTGGCTCCAGCTGAGCCAGGTGTTGCTAATCCCTCAATCAGGGAGCTTCCTTTAAAAGGCAGCTCCCTCTGTCATTCGAGGAGGGAAGCTTAGCAGAGGCCTGAGCGTTAAAGCTGGTGATCCTCTTTTCCCTCCTAGAGCTGACTTATTAAGTCTTGTTGTGTAACCTGTGTGGTCTAGTTATTCTTCCTCGATTAGAGCTCGTTTACGTTTCTATTTAGTTTACTCGTTAAAGAGTTCAGCTCACCCCTTTGGTGGAGCCTCTTGCGTTCATCCTAGTCTTTCCCTTTTCCCGGTTTGGTCCCGGCGTTTTGTGTTTAGTAAAATATACCCAGAGTGGATGATCGTTTGTTTATTAGTATTTATTGTTAATTACCCAGTATTTGGAAGATCTTTGTGTTTGGTGTCTTAGTATTTGTTTCCTGCTCATTTCAGCAGCACTTTTAGTTAATAAACCTCCTTCAAGAGAGTAATCTTTGGTTGTCCTGTTTACACACATTTTTCTTTACGCCCTCAAACACCATCATCTCCTAGACGAGCTGGGGGCCGTAAAACCATGAACATTCTTACTCGGGATGACGGTGTCAACGGCTGTCATGGTACTAAGCTTCAGTTTCACTGGTTGAACTTCCACATTCAGTTTGTCAAGCACATGTTCTAGGACGAATGTCGAGTCGCTTTGTGTATCTAGCAATGCATAAGTGAGTATTTCTCTATGAGGTTCTTGTACCGATGACACAAAGACGGGAACAATGCGATTGCTTCAGCGCATCCTTTAAGGAAATCTGCAAAATCTCGTAATGCTAGCAGGTCGTTTGAGTTGATCTTTGGCTATCTCATGATTAATGGATTCCCATATGTGTCTTGTAAGATTTTCCATGCACCCCAGTATGCGTCTTCTGAACTTTCTACGGCTTTGCATGCTTCTCCTGCCAGATAAGTTTTGAGATAAAACATTGTTTCACTTACTGGAAGAGGTTTTCTATCGATCAGAGTCATGAATGACATTTTCCAAACAGTGAACTGTAAAGGGTTGTCGCTGAATGTGGTGGGTTCAGGAACTGGTAAGCAATTCATACTCAATGAGTTAGCGATTGCTTGAGCTAGGTTGACAGACTCCTGAGCCATTGTCATTTCTGGAATTGTTTGGTGAGGATGGAATAATGCAGCTTTTGGATTCAGTTGAAGTTTGGTTTGTTCTATGTAGTAAGCAGAGTTAGCTTTGTTGTCAATTTCACCATTAGGGTTCTCAAATTCTTCAAAGCTGTCGTACACTTTCACACGAGCTGTTGCTATAGCGATTTCTTTGTGTGCTCATAACTGCTGAAGTTTAGCTCTTTCATGTTCCAACTGTTGCCGCATTTCCACCTCCTTTAGTTTAATCTCTGACAACATTTTTGCTTCTTTGAGCTTCCATTCACTTTCTAACTTGCAAAGATGGGCCTGCTGCACTCGAATTTCTTCCGTCGCTTTTGCTTGTTCTTGTTTGGCAGCAAGCTCTGCTTCTGCGTCTACTCTACTGCTGCGAGTACTGGGTGAGCCAGAGTGATAGCTCAATCGCTCTGACGACGCTGATGAGCTTGCAGTTTCAGTAGCACTGTGGCCAAAAACAGACTCATATTCATTTTTACTCAAAACTTCTCTTACTCTTTTCTTTTCAAGCTGGTTATTATATTCTTCATCAACAGTCTTTAAACGGTCCCTTATAAAGTTACATATTTCCTTTGTTAGTGTAACACAGGCATCCATTTTGTTGACAATATCCGGAGTAGTGTTACTGTTATGTAGGATAGGTTCATGAACTTACAGTGTTGTGCTTTGCTTCAGCATTCTGCTGCAGTTTATTGAGGTCTTCTGCTGAGCAGAGGGATTTCAGTTTTGTTCTAGTTTCCCTTGCTACTAGCTTCCAAGAGTCATAAGTTTTGTTGAATTATTTTCACGTTTTTTGATGTCTTGGATTTGCATTTCTAGGCTTTTCTCTGTTAATTTCCTTTCACGTGAGCTGGATTGACGCGGTGTGTTTGAGGGGTTGTTTATTTCTTCTTTTGGTGAACTGGATTCACATAATGTGCTTGTGGGGTTGTATATTTGCTCTTCTGGTAATGACATTTTGTTTCTACAGCTGTTTTGAGTCGACTGTAGCTCGATTGTTTTATGGCTTGACGCTATACCTTTAAGCTGTGGTTAATCTTTACCACAGAGTAACTTATCAAACATACACAGATTATCAACATTCAAAGGAATGTTTGACAGAAACAGCAACAACAAATGTTCATAAATTAGCTCTGTAGCTAATAGCTTGACCTTTTAAACCTTTTTGTAAACAGACACGTTATTAGACACTGAATTATTATTTCACCAAACACATGCAACTATCACCTAGAAATATTACCCAGATTTAGTTTGTTAAAAGTTCACAAATAATCTTGGACGTGGAGTATTATTTAAAGTCTCTTTTTTTTTTATTACACATTAAGGTTAAGCATGAGTGTGGCACCAAGGGCACTTGTCAGGATGACCCTCATGCACTCCGGAGGAAAAGTAATACTGAGGAGGCCGTTGTCCAGTGCAGACCCAAGTGTAGTTTATTTACATTTTACAAAATTAAAATCTAGGCAGCACAAATCCATGCCTGCCGCTCCATCCAACACTCAACCCTCAACAAAAAACTCCCTCCAGCAAACACAGAGCTGTATTTATAACAGGTGTGACCAATTGGATTAATCCTAAAACCCAGACACAGGTAAGAACAAAAAATACAATCTTTCAATACTCTTAAATTATACTTAAATCATCATCTCTAAGATCTCCTTAAATAATTACAATACAAAAATAGAAACATCCTTAATCAATCCTAAAAACATTCAATGAAACTAATCTGCCTTCCTAGAGCAATTTCACAGGTCACCCCTCCTATTCCTCCTGAATGGAATGCTCCGGAACCTTCTTTAGGTGCTCCAGCTCCCCAGGAACTCTTTTAGCTGGAACACCTCCAGAAGCACATGGGAAACAGGTAAGTACAAACATTCAATCATTTACCACTTTAAATCCTCAATATTCATACCAACTCTTCTTACAGGTCCAAACGCTTCACCCCTTCCAAATAAACATTAAAACAATCATTGAGCCTGGTTTCATTTATCCTACAATCATAGCAAAAGCCTGTGCAATTGGACTTTCTATATTACAATGAGTAAGTAGTTCCATGACGCTCTTTGATTCTCCATATTTCTTTCAGCGTCCGATGTTGTGTTTCAATGTGCTGTTCTTTCTAACCTTATAAATGTAGTTTGTAGATCTGAGTGGAATCAGCTGGATGGAAACAGGTTGGTAGCTGAATCTCTCTGGTGAAATGGCGTCAGATTCTCTGCAGGGATGGCAGGTCTCTTGTAGTCAAAGAAGAGCACTGTCGCTGCCCAACTTGAATTACGACTCAAGATGCAGAGAGTTTCGACTGATGCAACTTTATTTCTCTCCTTCTTTCCACCTTCGACCATATGACACCGTGAAAATTCTTTGCTTCCAAGGGGCGCTAATCTTGTTTAACCTTCTAACAGCTTCCTCCATACACATCTTTTTCAGTCTTGGTTTACACGAACGCTTCATTTAAGTTTTACCCTCTCCGAAGCCATGTTTGTTTTGTTTCACGGAGTACAGAGAGGGGAAAGTTGCACACCGAAAGGAAGTGCTGTGGTAACTGAGCGATGCTCTTCAAAATAAAGGCACAAGAGGAAGCAACTAGAAAAGGAAAATGAAGAGCTACGGAAATATGAGCTGTGCTCTTCAAAATAAAGCACAAAATGAAATGGCCTTTTCTTTTTTTCATTTACAGTATTCTACCTTCATTGTAGTCATCTCCAGTCCAACATAATGTGTTTACTATTGTGGGTTTATATTGTGTGTTATGAATTTTGCAATGTAAACACATTCGTCCTTTATTCTTCTCCACCTCTTTATGCAGTCGTCGCCTCCAAACTAAAGTTTCCTGTAATTTCCATCTATGAATAAAAAGTTTGCTTTTATTCTTTGTACTCCTTCAGTCCTGGGGGTGTAAATGTCTGTATTCAGAGTTTTTTCATAAAGCGTTCTTCAATCTGTTCCGTGTCCACCACTAAATGTCGTTGGTGTTGTCGATGAAGATCCTGGAAAGCTTGTGGTCATTGTCTCCATCACCCTCTGTGGGCTTGTCGCAGAGCCTTTGTGCCAACGCATATTGGCGTTGCACGTCTCCGTACCCAGCGCAGACTGAGAATTATAAATTTTGCTTCATTTAAGGATTACTCAACAGTTCCGTCAATTTGCCGCAATGCCGTGGCGGCATCAGGGAGCGTTAGGTCATTTATAAGCGGTCAGACCGTGGCAGTAATGTGGTGCAACCATGTCCTTTTTCTACAAGACTAGGCAATATAACGGGGGTATGGGGTGGTCTCTGTGATGCCACGTATTTCTGTTTATCTTGGGTATAACTTGCTTTTTACTGCATTTAAAGCCACAATCATTATGTTTTTTGAAAAAGCCGCTCCTGAAGGTGTTTGTCCCCATCATTCCCTGTGCAGCCTCCATCCCAATCTCCAACAACGGAGAGAAGCTCATGGAGTGCTGCGGTGCTCCAGTTTGCCATCTCAGCTGATTTTGTTAAAAAAGCAAAACTTATTGCCCGTGTTTACTTTCATTTTCAATATATTTTCTGGCCGGAGCTTGGCAGTAATGCCCCTGGTCATCATGACACCTCCCCAACGCCAACCCGGCATAACGCGTTTATAAGACACACCGTTGCGGTAATGTTACTCCGATTGGCCGGCATGGTGTGTCTTGTAAAAAGGGCTTAAAACTAAGCCTGGACTCCCTGTAGAGGGGCACGCTTAGTTCTCTTCCGACAACAGGCCAGTTTAATGTCTGCATCGCTGCAGAGGTCGATCCGTTTGCTAATGTCCCTTCACTCATAAACAGGACCCCAAAAGTACTTAAACCCCTCCTTCCATGCGAGATCTTTTCCCTGATTCAGACTTGGCTATCCACCATTTTTCCAGTTTCGAACTATCGGCCTCAGATTTGAAGAGCTGATTCTGATACCAAGCCACTTCACACTCGATTCTCCCCAGCAAGAGCTGAATGTCGCAGTTCAAATCTACTGAGAGTAACACATTATTATTAAATGTTACTCTAATTATCTGTAAACGTGTCAAGGCCAGACTGTATGTCTGTCTTTCATGTGAAATATGAGCAAACACAGTTCCCCCAACACAAAGGTTTAACAAAGAAAGCTCTTGGCAGAAACACGGGACCACTGCACCTCCTCTTAGCTCCGACTCGACTGCCCGTACCTCATCCAGGGAAGCCGTATCGGCACCCCTGCTGTGAAATACCATCTCATTTGTCATGTATCAAATGCAAACTTCAATGCATTGCCCTCACATATGCTGTGGATGAAGGAGTCTGATGCGTTGGCTGCCATCCAATTCTCAGCTGAATAAACACAAGGGCCATTTGCAGGTTGGCAGACACTGAGATGTTTGTCTTTCAAGGCAATTTTCCTCCCTCCCTTTCCCTCCAGTCTCCCCCTCCCCCCACCGCCTCACTCTTTCCTCAAACACAAAGGTGCAGCGAGTCACTATGATCTCTATACACAGGAGATGTTTGCTGCTGAGAAATATGAAATACACAAGTGTGTTAAAGAGGAAATCTTGACTAAAAAAGCCAGATAAAATAAAATAGTTTACGTTGAATATTTAAATGCCATTATAACACATCTGATCTCCAAACCGGGACAAGGATTAAACAGAATGTTAATGATGATACTTGAGCTAATTAACCAATTACATGTCTATAAAGAATTCTGGTGTTTGATCATAATCATGTCATCAAACACCATGGCGGCTTAGTCATGTCCTCTGGAAGTTACACCTATATGTGGCTAATTAGCCTCGTTATGTTGGTTGCGTAGGGAGTGGGATAGCTTGAATCATGGGGTGGCAGGTTTATGTGTAGATTACTTCAGCACCAAAGAAGACAGAACATACTTTGGATTTTGGTATTTTCAAAAAATACCTGAATTAGTTTTCTGACATTTAGCAAAATAACAGGAACATCAGATTCCCTTTCATCACTGGCAATGAGTGAAAAGGTAAACGTGTAAAAACATTTATTAATGGTGAAAGTTTTGTAACCATTTGTTACAAATAGTAAATGCATTTTATCTTCACAGGCTCCTGTATAAAAAAAAACATGGCATCCAATATGGCGTCGCCCAGAGACTTAGACCCGTTCCCATATTTTAGAACAGATTTTTATGGTTATGAAACTGCCAATATTTTTCAACAACTGGACATCATTGAATTCATTTAAAACAACATTTTAATGGATATTACCTGATACTAATGGTAAAAACTATACATTGTCATTTTAAATCAAAAACCTTCTGGTAATCTTCTGTATTTATGAGTAAGTATAAATCAGAGGCTGTTGTTGTTGGCCAGATTCTGTTTATTAAACCATTCCCTTAAGTAACATAGCATTAGCCAATGATAGAAAAATACAGGGAGTTGCCCAGATTAGAGTGACATTTGCACATAATAATGTGAAATTAGCATTAATAGAGTCACCCATTTTGGCTCTCAACGGAGTACACTGTTGTTTATTTAGCATCCTGGAAACAGTAGAGCATGTCTCAGATAGTAGAAGCTAACCATTAGCATTAGCAATGCCACAACATGGAAGAAGTCCTTCAGGCTTGAGTAATTTGTCAACGTTGCAAAGCAAACAGAATCAGTGCTAGAGTCATGTTGCTGTAAGCCAATCAGGAGCACAGTAGTCTGGAGGATGCCTCTCCACCTCCTTCACAAGGGAGGAAGGTTGTTTGGAGGAGGCGAGGAACCCTGAGCGGCATTTTCTCATTGACCCATGAGTGGGTAAGTCAGCTGGAGGCAGGGGCTGAAATTTGGCTTCTTTTATACCCCACAGCGGCAGGACAGCAGGAGTCCCTCCAAACTGGCTACATCACACTGTACCGTTTAAGCAATGGCTATGGCTGCTTCTAATTCAAATGTAGTGCTAACTTTTGACCTGAAGAGGGCACCACACTGACTTATTTTAGCTCAGCACTTATATTTTAAATAAGATTTGCTAAAATACACAGAAAAATAAAATGACTAAAAATATCTACATAATGGACACTCATTTATACAGTTCATCAGCAAAAAGAACAGTGATTTGGGGGTTACTTGCCTTTTAACAAAGTAATCATTCCTGCACAAAGTCCAGTAACTTGACCTTTAACTTTAGCAAACTAGTTGTATAGTTAATTCAACATATCACTTGTGGCATGCACATTTTTGCTGAGCATCACTATTCTTGTTTTTGTACTATTTGTTTAAAATATTAGAACAAAAATTTAGGGTAAGCCCCCAAATGTATTTAGATTGTACAAAAGGTTGTTGGGAATTCCTTTTAAAAGTCTTACATATTAATCTTAACCAAGTTGTTAGCATTTTTACTATTTCTTTAAACTTTAGGAAATATTTTCATTGTTTATTTTAAAGTGATAAATCTTTATAAAGCATGCAAAGATGTTTGAATTCAGATTGAACAAAACTTAAACAGCATTTTTCTTAGCTTTAAGTCCATTTTGTGAATTTATCACGTGTTAATGTTTATTTTACTTATTTATTTTGTGAATAGAAGGCAGCTTTGTCTTGTGTCATTTTTTTACTATCTGAATATGAATTTCCTGACTAACCGTACTACAAGATGTCTCTTTAGGAAATATTTATAATTTTAGCACCAGTCAGGTAAAATACATGCTTTCACACCTTTAGAACGGGCCAAGTTTTTGGCTTGTAATATATAGTGTTTATTTATTTATTATTTAATCTGTTTAATTAATTATTCCTGGGACATTGCAACAATATGTGTTGTGATGAAGATAATGTCAAATCCACACCAAATTGTTTTTTTTCTTCCTTTGAGTATTCCCAACCAGGCACTTGTTGGAGATGGTCTTGAAAGCAACACAAAGGCAAGCGTGGTCTGCTTTTGTCAGTTTAAACAAATATTGAAGCAACACAAGTGCTACCAGTGAATGTGTTGGCTCACCAGTGGAGCCCTGACACGCATCACAACGGCCAGGACAGGCTCAGTATTAACACTTCCTTTGACAAACGGCTAAAGTTTTTTTTTTTTTTTTTTTTTTTTTTTTTTTTTTTTTTTTTTTACCCATGGAGGAATAGGAATCCGTGAATAATAAGAAATTAAAAGGTACAGGAGACACAGGGGAAGAGTGAGAGAGAAAGCCAAATCCTAGCCCCGAGGCTTAATGTTACAACACAATGGCTGCTGAGGCAGTAAAGGGGTCGACATTTCTTATTCGCCCCCGACTGCCACCTGCATTACAATTAACCTCATGGAAACCTTGAGGTCTCTGATTAGTGATGGCCTATTGTCTCCAACCCATTAATGCTTGGCCCCACTCGACCCTCAGCGCACTCACATCAACAAATCAAACCCAGTTTCCGGCACAGCCTTTTACCGCTGGGATCCGGCCTCTAATGTGGGACGGCTACTCGAAGGGGCTCTGCAGAGAGTTGCTATAGAGCTCCAGACCCCACGTGACTCTCAGTTAGTAGACGCCATATTGGCAGGAAAAAAAGGTAAACAAACACGGATCGTAAACATGAACATGAATGGGATCGGCTTGGATTTTACTTCGTCGGAGTTTACTTCACACTTTAAAACCGAAGAAATCGTTTTATATAATCAGAAATTAAATAGACTAAACATCTCCGACCCTTACCTTGTCCCTGGGATACTTTTGAAAAACGCCAGAAGCTGTCAGAGCGGACCTGGCCAGGGAACCCCTTGGGATTTCCCCAGTGGAGCTGGCCCAGGTGGCTGGGGAGAGGGAAGTCTGGGCCTCTCGAAGCTACTGCCCCCGTAACCCGACTCCGGATAAAATGATGAAAATGGATGGATTGACAAATAACAGATTTACACATAAGTAGTTTAAATAGAGTGCTGTGCTGTTTGAATGCATAAA